ATCATATTGCACTGCCTCTCTGAAGAGATGTTACCAGCATGAAACAAGTAGAGCAGGATTTCTGAACTCTGCCCTACTGACATTCTTTGTTGCAGGGAGGTGGTTTGTTGAACATCCTGTGCACTGCAGGACTTTCAGCAGCATCTGCTCACTACATTTCAGTAGTGGAATGACCAGCACAATTTGACCTTCTCTATAAGCAGTATCTAAGTATTTACTTGTGCTATAAATGCATTTTTATTTTATGCATATTCTTGAAATTTGTTCATTGTTTAATGCATTTTTAATTTATATGTGTATTTTAATATTTGTTGATTGAATACCTTAATATCTTAGATTTAAGCTCTTAAAAAATAAGAACTGTATATCTATTAATATTAAACTCACTTATAAGTAAGAGGAAAAAGGAACATAATGTTATCTCCACCTGCTCTGGATTGTTCCAGAAAGCAACCCACTTCAAATAGATAGAAACAATCTAGAATAGGGCAAGAAAAAGTATGTTCTCATCTTGTTATACCCTCCTCCCTTGCTCATGGCAGATATCACTAATTGATACCAGTATTCTCCTGCCAATCCCAGATACGGTATCAGAGTCCTCAATAAAACACTCTAGGCAGTCATTACCAATCTATTGGAATTTATTATAAACTATTGGAATTAGAAAAATCCTTTTTAGCCAATCAAGAACTTGGGACATTGGTAGGGAACCTCTGCATGTGAGCTATTTCAAGATTGCCCTTAGCTAGGCATGGTGATGCACATGTGTAGTCCCAGTTGCTTGGGAGGCTGAGCCAAGAGGATCGCTTGAGCCTAGAAGTTTTCGAGGTCACAGTGAGCTATGATCAGGCCACTGCATTCCAGTCTGGGCAACAGAGCCAGACTGTATCTCAAAAACAGAACCCATAATATGCTGAAATTAAAAAAAAAAAATAGAAACAAAAAAAAAACTGCCCTGTCCTTCTGGATTCATTCCTAATTGTCTGGACTGGATGTGAGCCATCCATTTCTAAAATTCTTCCTCAAATATTTCATACCCAGATTTATTCCCAAACACTTTTCAGAGATAAATTGTCTTTATTTTATAAAAATTTTAAGTGACACAGAGTGGTTAAAAAGCTTGACTATGAGTACATTTTTACCTAAATCTATCTCTTTAAATAGGTACTACTGCTATACAAGTAACTTTAATTTTTTTAAGCTGAAGGTGCTCATAACCCCACCAAACTAATAAATATAAGTTTAAATTTTTTATAGTCCTTTACCAAAATCTTTTACCATACACATAATTTTATAAAGCTATGATCATAACATATACAATTTACATTTTTTGCCTTGTCCAATACTGTCTTTTACAATCTACAATTAATCTACATTTAACCTACAATTAATATCTACCAATCTACAATTAATAACATGAATAATTGAAGTTTCTGCTTTAACTCTGAAGTTATTTCGTTGGCAAAAGTGTAGCTCTGTTCTGGAAAGAAGTCTCAGTGAAGATCCTATCAAACGATGTTTGCCATCGTTCTAGAGCTCCCCATGCCTGTCTCTGAGTGGGTAGGAGTTAGACATTTACATTCCTCACAAGGGTGTCCGCACTGATGAATTACGATGTGGTGGTTGTCTTACTGTGTGAACAATGAATGCTTCGGGCAGAAAAGCAAGCCAATTGGAAAAAAGGAAATGTTCGTTTACCCAAATGTGTTTTTAATTATAGTATTAACAAAGACAGAGCAAAATCAGGGAAGTGCAAAATAATCTCATGGGAGTCTAACAAAATCAACATCATTTGTTCTCAGATTCTATTTACCCCCTCAAAACCTGTTGTTTTTCCAAATGGATCTTTTTCCTCTTTACTAGTATTTCATGAAAAATCCCCAAATTAAATGTGCCTTTGCTTTAACAGCCAAATAATTATATAGGGGGAAAAATAACAAATATAAAATAAATCATGTTGGCATTTAAAGATTAAAATGAAGCCACAGCTTGATCAAAGAGATTTATTAGTTGATATTTGCTCATCATTATGAATATTTCAAGTCTTATGTAGTCAAAAGTGATCCATTACTGTTTTCCAAGAAGTGATAATATCTCCTCCAGTGTCATTAATAATGTTAATCTTGGTCAAGATTCCCTGCATTAAAAATGTATAAAAGCAAAATGTTGCTATAGTAACTATTCTAGATGAGTGTGTTCTGGCCCTTGTGAGACCAGAAGACCTCACTTGTATAATAAGCATGGCATCATAAGCAAGATGTTGCTTACATACATAGATATATATATATATATATTATATACACACACACACAAACATACATTATGCTCCCCTCCCCTTTCACAGAGGACTTTTTCTTAAAACAGAAGACATTAAATAGTTACCCATTCATGAAATGAGTTCCACAAAGAGCAAAGCTTCATGTGCATTTACTTACAGACCACCTGTGTGCTTTATCTAAGTAATCAAACCATTTATTCCTGCTATACCCATGAACACTTGCATAGAGGCTTTCTGCTGCCCCCATCCCATTTCCTCTACTGAATCAACGTGTTCATTAGAAATCTTTCAGTTGCAAGCAACAGAAATGCATTCCAACTAGTTTAGACAGAGCAAAGGCATTCACTGGAAGTATAGCCTGTGTTTCACAGCCGGGAGGGGCTAGAACCAACATCAGAGGCTGTTAAGGCCGAGCACAGTCTCTCTCAAGACCTCATGCTCTCTCCTCAGGCACACTTGTTTCTTTCTTCCTTCTCTGTGCCAACCAGCTACTACTGCATATGCGCAAACCCTGGCCACTTCCAAAGGCCCTCTGTGTCCCCAGTCTGCATGCTAATTCCAAATTCTTAAATGGTCATTTGGAGTGTGGAAAGAAGTTGGCAATTATCCTTCTGTTGTTGGAGAGGAGAGTGGCGAGGACTCAGGAAAGAGATGAAGGGAAGACATGGATTGGAAAAAATATCTCAGAAGTAAATATTTATGAAACTTGCAGCACCTGAAGTCAGAAGTAAAGGCATACCTAAGTGTCTGTTACCTACTTCATTTCTCATTTGTTGCACCAATTTGTCAAAATTAGCTGGTCTTTTTGAACTCTATTGAGGGAAATAAATAATTTTATCTAGCTCAAGTCCTACTGGGAAATGAGGAGGGTGCAAATTCTTCATGAATAAATAAAATAAACAAATAAGTATATGTGGGTTCACCTCCTGGCACAGCGGAGTGTTAGTTGAAAACAACGGAAAGCCAAAGGTATTAACTCAGTCTGTGACACTCTCCCGGTCACAGGCACAGTTAAGAAGAGTAGCAGTAAATGAGAAAGGCACTCTCGCTCACTCCTCTCTGATGTGCACAGAAAAGAAGGCGGAAGGAGGAGGCCAGAGAGGGAGGACCCAGCAGCACCGCTGAGACTGAGAGGGCCAGTTTGGGGTCCTTTTTGACAGGTGGCTTTTTAGAAGCCTGGAGGGCCCAAGGAAATCAAATTCTTATTATGTTCTTCAGTTTAACACTCTATGATGAACCTTCTGAGGTGGAAGATCAGATTCTGATCTTGTTTTCCTGCCTGAATTTCTCATGGAAAAGGACAAGAGGCCCAAAAGAGCAATTTAAGGCAGAACAAGGAAGGGGGGACTCTTTTTCTTCTGTTTCCATGAGTCCAATGCTAACTTCCAACCTCCACTTTGCAGAGACTCTAAATGTGTTAAATATGTGATTAGCACGTTTAACCAGAGGTCTGAGGGCCTCATCTCACAGCTGCTGTAGTTCATTCTTTTCGTGCTGGGTGGGGGCCTGCGTTGATCAAGCTAATCAAGCAGTCCAAGCTCACCCATCCTGCAGTCCTCCCCTTATGCTAATAGTCCCTTTGCTGGTGACCCCTCTTCCCACTTCTTTCCAAAACCTTCAAGAAAGGAGTATAGTCATTAACAATTTAGTATGAATAGATGTTACCTCTTCAGTGCATATTTGCATTTTAACTTCATCACTAATTAAAGGTCTTCCAGATGGTTAAAGGAATTTTAAGAACAGTACAGTTAAGAATATATAGCAATTCTTTTCTTTCTTGAATATTAGTCAGGTCCTGATGAAATCAACTTATTCTCTCTAGGGTTGAGATTCAGCGGTACACACTGGTTCTCTCTCTGTGCCACAATGTTAGCTTACTTCTGTATTGGCTGGCCAATATCTGAGCCACCTGCACCCCGTTCCATGTGTCCCCTCATCCTATCTGGGACCTCCTGGAGCTCCCCATGATCCAGAAGCTAAAGGGTCATCCTTGGTGCAAACTGGGGCCTCCTGGGTCCCGTGTTCCAACTCTGTGGTCAGCACCCCATCTGATTGGCTGTGAAATATTTGGAACAGCACCCCTGATTCTACCTCTTTAATTTTACTTTTCACTGTTTACATTACAAATTAAGGCACCTCTCCACCCACACTCACCCCCAATCAAGAACCATCACACCAAACTGACATCTCTCCTGGAATCTATTTTCCCAGCTACCTTCAAACAATAAATGGAAAAAAAAATTAAAAAAAAGAAAAAAGAATTGCTGAGTAATAAACTCTGGAAAAATATGGTTGGAGGGGAAAAGAATCTAACCTGCTAACCAGACTTAGTCTTCTTATACTTTAGTGTGCCCGAGAATCTCCTGGAAAACGTGATTAAAGTACAGATTTCAAGACTCTATCTTTAGAGATTCTGATTTCATAGATCTGGAACGATTTAGGAATCTACATTACAGGTACATTTGATGTAGATGATGCCTGGATCATACTTGAGAAATACTGAACTCAACTGTTGCTGTGAATCATACACAGTTGCCTATGGGTAGGACGCATATTCATCACCCGGAGCTTAGTCTACCAGGATTTCACAAGCACTCGCCTTACTTCAATGCCCACAGCTTTACCGCCAATGATTACAAGTATTCCTGATGCATTTTTATTGATGAGTGCTCCAGTTCTTTGGTGTTCTGTTAACACATTCTTTTTTGTTTTGAAATTACAGAGTCTGTCATCCCAAGCAGTGGAACATTTCATGTAAAGCTCCCTAAGAAGCACAATGTGGAACTTGGAATAACCATAAGTTGTAAGTAGAAGTTATTTCTTAAAAATACAGAATTTGAAAAAGACATTAGAAAGTTGTGTTAGCAGATGGTGTGCAGGTGTGGCAAATGTTTGAAGTGTATTTGCCAAGTTTCTATGTTGTGATACAAAAATGTGGAGCAGTCAGACCTCTAGCACTTACTGGCCCTGTGAAAGGGGCAAGCTACCTGTACTCTCTTTGATCTTATTTCTTCATCCGTAAAATGGAAATGACATTTACAAAATATAGGGTTGTTTTAAGTATTAAATAAAATAATGAGTGTATATACTTAGAATAATACCTGACAAGTAATAAATTAAGTACTCAATAAATATGTACCTTACACCCCCCATGAATAATTAGATGAGTAGATAAATGCATATAGGTTCTCTATATTTTAGTATATTATAGATTAGTATATTGTAGATTCACAATAATCTATTTAACTAACAAAAATCACATTTATTTACTTTTAAGACCATCTTCCCATCTGTCCACTATGCATCTATAATCTTTTTCACAAGACTAAAACAATGTCTCTTACTTTAGTAAATTCCTGAATTCCTCCATGATGCACAGTGTCTGGGCAACCAACCCAAAAGGAAAAGCAGAGCATATAAATGTGTTGAATTCCCTCCTGTCCTTAGGCTCTAGTTTTGTAACTGCTTTAGTAAAAAAACTTTGAAAATTTTAGCCCCAGTGGACTTTTATAGAATGGATATTGAGGGGTCTTTTTTTTCATGCTTCTAATATCCATAGACTAAGTTCATCCATAAATGTCCCAAGAAAATGAAGCAAATGATAAATGTTAAAGACCAAAGGAGACATAGAGGCAATGATTGTGACCACGAGGTGGTTCCTTCAAAAATGAGTGATGAGGCTACATCCAAGTGCCTCACTACACTCTGTTGGATAGTGTTCCTGTCAGTGGTTAAGACAAAAATAAATAAAAAGACTTCTCAATTGGGTAATATGAAATGGAACTGTCCAATTCAACTTGGATGATATAAATTTAATACTGAAAAATGAAATTTTATTTATAACCAATAAACCACACATATCTACTACAATGCTAAAAAGAGTGGTACTACAATTCAGAACACATGTTAAGAACAAGAAGTCATATGAATGGGAGAGAGCCTATATCCCCCCAACCCCAATGTGGCCTACTGGCAGAGAAGTAAAAAGACACAATGGAATTTTGGAGACTCTAGCCCTATGCTAGTTGCTACTAAAGTCATATAAATGGGGGTCATATTCATGGGGTCACTTAGCCTCTCAGTTTGTTCACTATGAAGCAAAGATGGTATGTCATTATTCTGTCAACAGCTGTGGCTGCTGAGATTAAGGGAGAACACATTAGAACTTACTATTCCAAAAAAAGTGGGGCTCAAAATGGCTTTTGCAAGCCCCATGTAACTGTAAGGCTGTGCTCGTTTATTCTGTTTATTACAATCCATTCATTTATTCCCTCAGAACCAGCTGTGAAAGTGGTACCTCTTGGAGTTGTACAGTACATAATCCACCTGCTGTACACAGAGACCTTGCCTTCCCTTCTGTCCTTTCATTCTTCTGCCTGAGCTCACTAAATACATTCTGAGCATCCACTGTGCCCTAAGCCTATGCTAAGTTTCGAGATACACACCCTGCCCTTAGAGACGCTTCCTGCTAGTGGGCATTCTGAAGACACCTATTCCACAGAAACTTCTAACACCACTGCCACACAGTTATTTTACTCTCAAATTTCAATTAGGAGGCCGGGCACGGTGGCTCACACCTGTAATGCTAGCACTCTGGGAGGCCTAGGCAGGAGGATTGCTTGAGATCAGGGATTCAAGACCAGCCTGAGCAAGAGAGAGACCCTCTCTCAACTAAAAAATAGAAAAAATTAGCTGGACAACTAAAAATAGAAAAAAAAATTAGCCAGGCATGACGGTGTATGCCTATAGTCTCAGCTACTTGGGAGGCTGAGGCAGGAAGATTGCTTGAACCCAGGAGATTGAGGTTGCTGTGAGCTAGGCTGATGCCATGGCACTCTAGCCCAGGGAACAGAACAAGACTCTGTCTCAAAAAAAAAAAAATTTCAATTAGGGAAATGTTCCTTTTTTGGTTGTTTTATACAACAGATTTATTCTTATAAATTGATACAAATAAGAGTACAATTTATTCAGGAGAGCATCCATTTAAAAAATAATCCTGTGATGTATTTCTTTTTAGAAGGTAGATATTTATATGCTAATTTGTTTGAGATATAGTCATGTACCCACAACTGCGAAATATTTGTTTTATTCACACGAAGACTCATTTAAAATTTTGCTTTATGAGAGTGTTTCATATGTGCTAAGTATTATTTCCAAAACTAATTTTAATAGCAATAATGACAACAACCTAAAAACCCCCACAAGTTGGGCTTGAATCTTAGCCAGCCACGAGCAAATGCTGTTCACAGAAGCCGAATGTGTCGCTGTTCCTGGGTAGAGAAATGATCCATAAGTTGTCAAACATGCTTCTCAGCCCTTCCAGAGCTCTGGCTCCATTTACACAACTAATCATCGCCATGCCAAGTTTGTGTCTCCTTGTAGAAAATAGTGATATTTTGCCAGTTGAAAAAGCAGAATTTGTTTTTTAAAATAAGGGCCAGAATCCATTTTCATTGTTATAAGATCGTAACCTTGTGAGGCCTAGCACAGCTCCTAGCACATACAGGGTTCTGACGTGATATCTGTATCTGTGGAGTGAATGAACAAGAAGTCTTTGTCTGCAAACAATTTCTACTAAGCACTGTGCACTCCAGGAAATGAGCCTTGAAGGGAGATAATGAATATAGATGTTTGTGCAGAGGCCATTGCGTGGACTGAAGAAGCACTGACTTGCAAAATGACTAAGAGCGAGGACTAAGAGCCCAGACTGCCCCATGCATTGATTCCCTAGACCTCTCTGTTCCCAGTTTCCTCGTCTGTAAAAAAGTGGACCTATTACCTCTTTCATAGTATTGTTGACGAGGTTAAATGATTAGTATATGTAAGTGCCTAGAACACGTGGTGAACACTAACAAATGTTAGTGATTACCATGATGATCATTCTTTACACTTAGAGCCTTGTGAAATATTTTAAGCACAGCTCTAGCCCACAAAATCTAGTGCCAACTATAGTTATATTGCTAAAGTGAGGAATCCAGAGCTCTTCTTGCACACAGGTACTGTTAGTGACACCGAGGCATTGCAAAGATGTATTGACTTTTCTCATTATCTTTATACAAAGTCCCCTTTCTGTCTTCCTCACCTTGTGAAAATCTGAGTGTTAAGAAACAGCCCTCCATCTCTGGACGCGCATCAGGAGAGCCTTTCCGGCTCACTCTTCCTACCTAATTGACTGAGAAATGAGTCCCTCTGATTTGGGACATGGTGAGCAGTTTCAGGCTAATTTTCTTAAGTTCCTGATGAAACATTCACAGCACATTAGCATCGGACATTACTTTTATTGATGTTATTGCTGTAATATGGAGTGATTTATTAAAGCAAATAAGTGGAACGACCTAGCAGAAGGATGCAGCTTGGGACTGAAGCCGCATCCTGATGCCTCCGCACCTCAGCCAATCAGAAGCCAAGGCTTGTACCTTCCTGCACAGCCCACCTGCCTTTCAAGTCAAGAACCCTGGTTGTCTCTGTCATGAGCAGTTATCAGTAAAGTCCTTTCCTTATAGGGGTTTTCTCTTGAGGTTTTATTACAGGGGTTTGTATCTACCTTGTACCAGGCATGGCACTATGCAATTTTATGTGTTTTTCTTATTTAATCCTTAAAGTGGCCCTGTGACGTCTATCCCCATTCTACAGAAAGGAAAGTACAGCTCAGCTGGGTAACCTACTCCAGATACAGAACAAAACCTACTCAAAGATCCAGAACTAATAAAAGGCAAACGTGGGATCCAAACCCATTCTCTCTGACCTAACACTGGCTTTGCTGTCTCTACAACACTCATCCCAGTCGCCATCTGATTGATGAACCTCCCCAGATCGTATATCAGAAAAGCAAAAGGCAGCATTTTGTGAGTGCAGTTAATCTGTTGGCTTGCCTTTTTAGTTGTGACTAAATTGTGTGCAGGAACAAAGGCTTGCCTGATTTTTTTTATAAAATCATAAAGCAGCCTTTGTGACAAGCACAACAAATTTGTCATTTTGCCCCTAAGTCTTAAGCATGTTTAGAAGAGAATGGTTCATATTTTTTGCCAACTTGCAATAAAAACTCTACTCACTGCTCCATTTAAAATCAAATAACTTATTTTACTTGCCACATACTATGTATTATACATGGTTGCAATTAAAATAAAACTGAATGAGAGAGAGAGAGAGAGAGAGAGAGAGAGAGAGAGAGAGTGTGTGTGTGTGTGTGTGTGTGTGTGTTAGTTACTCCAATGTAGTTTGGATACTTCATCAGACACTCTTTAAGCAGAGTGCCTTGACTTAGGAGAGTAAGTTCCATGAATGGCTGGATGTTATAAAATGTTCTTGGAATACTTTGTTGATTCCCATTTAATTAGCCTCAAAACTCAGAATAGTTCACTTGTCTTCAAATGCAGACGAAGTTATGTAAACAAAGGATAGAGACTGTCATTTTCTACCTACTTGGACAACTATTTGTTCTCGATAACCAGTTTCTGATAGTGTGGGGAGATCAGTGGTTTTAAAATTTCTGGGGTCAAAAAATGGTAGCTTTACACGTGGGGCCAGTGGTGCAATGGATAACGCGTCTGACTACGGATCAGAAAAAATGGCAGCTTGAACACATGCTTTTACCTCTTCTCTCACCCTATGCCCCACTTTAAATGGCAGTATAAGATTTTTCAAAGGGCAAAAGCCAATAAGGAAAAAAAGAAAAGGAAAATAGACAACAACAATCAGATTTGGCAAAGAAGATGAAGAAAGACAAATTTAACTGAAGAAGCGGAGGAGAAGCTGACGACCTGATTTACACCCTGTACTCCCAGGAGGCTCGGGAATGGGTGGAACCAGGAACTGCTGGAAGCAAGAGTGATGGAAAAGCTAAGACAGAAGGATTGATTGAAAGCCTATTGAGAACGAATTTGTCCTTAGATGGCTTCCCCAACTCAGCACATCCAAGTACCCCTCCCCTACCCCAGCAGAAGGGCTGGAGTTGTATTCTCCAGAAAGCATGCAATGGAGAATTCCCTGAACTGGAAGAACACAGCTGAATGCAGCAGTACTGCTCCAAAAACAGAGATTAGGTGAAAGTTTGCGTACTGAGTATTGAGACCGCCAGCCTTCCTCCCCCAATAAGCTCCAGCAAGGTAGCCAAGCTGAATCACCTCCAAGGGGGAGAAATAAACAATTTAGCTGGGCCTGGGAGTAGTGGCATGTCTGTAGTCCCACATTTAACATGCATGGTAGTGACAGAGGCAGGAGCTCATACAAATTTGGATGCACTTCTGGGTTCAACTCCATCACCCCAATGAGCATCCACCCTGATGAAGGTCTCAAGTCTCAGATAGGGACTCAGTGAAAGGAGAAAGAAGAATCTAGAAAACATGAAAATGGCCACCATACGTGTCTATAGACCATAAGAAGTTTCAAGCTTCTCTGAAGGCTGTGTGGGTTAGTCCAAGAGGTCCAAGTGCTATTTTCCCCTGTTGCAGAGATGACAGCAATGAGTTTGATGTATTTTGTTGCCTCTATTTATTGTTTGGTTTCACAGACCGTTTCAGAGGGACATGGATGTTTTAAAAAGCCAAAGGAAACAAAGAGTGCTATGTTATGGTTACTACAGCTTGGCAAAATATTGTGTAAATTCATTGGCAGATGCTAGAAAAGCTATACTTGCTGGTCATAACAAAGTTTTTATTTTTGTGCCCTATGCCCAGAACAATTTGCAGTTTTGAAATATGACATGACTAAAAATGCTAGATGTTCATATGTCTCTAGAGGAATTATATCCAATCATTGAATGAAGGTTTAAATTATGAATTAATTGGAGTGAATAGAATGTTTCGCATTCTTTGCTA